CCTAGGCACTGAACAGAGATCAGTGTTATAGACACCATAAGTATTACAAAGCTTAGAGAAAACTGGTAGTTCTTATAGCAAGCATAGTGAACTTTTCAGTATGCAAGATTTGTTGTATCTGGTTTGTTTCTGTTTTTTATTTATTTTTTTTTTTAAATTCCACCATCTCCAACTCCTTTACACTCTTCTTTTACTATCTCTAATTTTTTATTTTTTTTTTTTTTTTTTTTTTTTCTTTTTTTGGATGGATTTTTTTTTTTTTTTTTTTTTTTTTGGAATAAGCTCTGTACTTGAATGTACTTGGATAACGCACATTCCCTTTTCTGGTATTGATCACCATCATTTTATGTAATAGTCATTGTTCTTTTGCAAAATTTCCTCTCCTTTGTTCTTCGTTTTTTTTACATCTATTCACACACAACCTTGTGTGCGCACATCTAGAGTGTAAAAGCCCAGTTTGATTCAACGTAAGTCCGTTATCAACTATAAAGCGAACAAGGTTAACACGATAAAAATGAACATCACAAAGCTACATGTTTTCATTCCAGACAACAACTCTAACTGTAACATTCATTAATTGATGAAGTTATGACCAATCAATAGGTAATACTTGAGGTACATGTGCTTCCAATACAAATCAGCTGGGTTGATGATTTACTACTTTACAGGCACGCAGAGGGGTTCTCTAGTCAGGCGAGAAAGGAATTCACCATTTTCACTGCCCATAACACACCTCGTTTACCCCCAAAAGTTGGGATGACTGTAACACTCACAAGAAATAGGAAACAATGGTTAAGCATTTTTTTTCTTTAAGAACAGTGAGGGGGAGGGGGGGGGAGGGGGGAGTTAACAAGGTGTAGTATAAGTAATGTGAAAATAGTGAACTTCGCGTTTTTTGTTCCATTCCGTTTTTTTTTGGGGGGGGGAGGGGGGTGGGGAAGGGAGTCAGGCTAATGAATTATTAAACAGTAGAAGTAACTTTTGCTAAACACCTCCTCAGCGAATTAACGTTCGTTAACCTGTGTCACTTTTGATGAACCAGGTTAAAGAGATAACAAAGATCATATCATATTCTTTCACAGCAGAAAATTCTTATCAAGTCTCTTCTTTTTGCTATTTCAAGTCCTTCAGCAAGTTTCTGGTAAGTTGCGGCGCTTCCATTGACTTCCATCCACCTTCTGAGCATTGCGTGACTCTTCTCTACTAAACCGTTGATATCCTCATCAATTTCATTTAGCGTAGCGTCGTCCAGTTGTAGAGCTCTTCCGATGCGTTTCCATGTTTTAAGCTTCCGCGCAAGGCTGTGGATTTCTTGTTGGTTTAGCACGCCTTCCTTGAACGGCGCGCCTGTAATAGTGAAAAACAAAAGAGAAGAAGAAAGAAAGAAAGAAAGTTGAAAAATTACAGGAGTGCCTCTGATCCCGATGTATCAACTCTTGCACTCGCACGTGATTAGATGAACGCTTTTTTCGTAAGGTTACTATAAAAGCGCATGGTAGCATTCATTGCGTTTGTTTAGGTGGAACTCACTTGACACTCTCTGCTTAAATATCAGCATGGCACGCAAGGCATTTTCGATTAGCATGGTTCTTTAACAGAACGTTTTTCTGAATCTCTCTTTTCCGCAAAGGCTCCCGCTGGGTATCCCTATAAAAATAGCAATCATCGAAGAAAAAAGAAAAAATAGAAAGCGCGCGGGGGACGATGGGAAGAGAGAAGAGGCGGGAGCCTCTCTTCTCTATTTCCCCTTCTCATCGTTCTCCGCGCGCTCTCTTTTTCTTTTTTCCCAGCCTCCCCACAACACAAAGTGTCCTCTGCGGAGGAGAGAGGTCCTGATTGTCATTGATTCTGGTCCAGATTGCAAAAGAGGAAAACCAACTATTTTATCTTCACTACCCAGGAAGACACCCACACAAGAGTAGATACAGGGGCCTGTTGGTCAGCAAGGACCTCGAAGCCAGTCAATTGCAAAATTTAAAACGTTAGATTACAAGATCGCACTTAATAATAATAATAATAATAATAATAATAATAATAATAATAATAATAATAATAATAATAATAATAATAATAATAATAATAATAATAATAATAACACCCTATGGCGAAAAGCAAACCTCTAAAGAAACAAAGTGCGACATTGCAGGATAATAAAACCCAAATCGCAATGTGGGAAAAAAGGGAACGCACACGCCCGCCTGCTGAAATCAGCTGAGTTGCCGACAACTCGATGGCAGAGGTACGTAAAAACTAGCTGTCAAATGCCTATAAACAAAAATGATAAAACTGGCAAATAAAATAAAAGTTAGGAGCTCGATTGCTGACCTAAACTGATTCAAATTTGCAACGTACAACAAAACACGCTAAAACATATCTCAAAAACCTACCCACAGTTCGTTCTAGTCGGCCAAATGGATATTTCTGTCCGTTCCGTTATTCTGCACTGTCAGAAATACCACTATCGTGTTTTTTAAAGGCTTTTTTAAAAAAATCATATTTGCCCGACATCTTGATACAGACGGAGACTAAAGGGGCTGTGTCACGAACTAAGTAAAAGAAGATTGGAGGCTGGTGTGATTTATATTTACCAGTTGACATTTCTACAGACTCCTCGTCATCGCTTTCGCAGCAGTACTTCTTCGCTATATCAGGTCTCCCGACAGTTTCATGTTGTAAAGCCTGCCCAAGCTCCTGGTATGTTGGCGGGTCAGTTTGTACCTCGGTCCATGTGGTCAGCATGCAGTAGCATTGTTCGTATTGTCCTTCCCTTATGTTGTCAGCCTCAATCTGGTCCAGTGTTGAATCGACTATGCGCAGTTGTCGACCAAGGCTTTTCCAGACGGCGCACACGTCACTTGACACAAGATGAAGAACCCTGGGTGATGGTGATCCTGACTTGAAAACGATATCATGGACAGCGACTGGAAACCAAAAAAGAAAATCTCAAATGAACTCTTTCCTTCTACCTCGCCCAATGTAAGCTTCCTCCTAAACCAACCCCCGCCCCCTAAGTAGTTTTAACGCTCATCCGAGATGGCTGCCCGTAACACAAAGCGCTCGATCTCGACGATCTTACGGAAAATAGGGGACTGTGACTAGTCTACGCGCATTAGCCTATACAGCCAGACAAGACGTTACAGCACCACCACAAATTGGCCAGGTCACACAAGCATTGTCTCTCGAGACTTCGCCTGTCAATTATATGGTAACCAAGATCTTCAAGGATGATCGATATTGTTATTTGAATAATAATGATGATGATGATGATGGTGATGATGATGATGATGATGATGATGATGATGATGATGATAATAATAATAATAATAATATATTAATAGTAATTTATTATTATTATTATTATCAATATTCTGAAAGTAAAATCAACCTTAAAAATATATAATGAAACAGATACCAGCTATGAACTGGCAATGAAATAATAAGGTATTTCAAAAACTCTTCAAAAGTAATTTCCTAAGCTTTGCTTTAAAGGCCATTAAGATTACAACTTCTTGCAAATCCGGTAGCAAATTATTGGACGCTTGGACTCAGCATAAAAACGGCATTTCTTTGCAGATTCTGAGCGTACTAAGACATCCCTAAATAGAGAGGAAGAGGGGTAAGCTTTGGGAAAGGTAACCAGATAGATTCTATAAATTAATGTAAATTATAATAAAGTACCTGAGCAATCAAAGTCAGGAGTGTGCTCACTTTCTTGTCGATCAAATTCCTTTAAGATTCTTCGGTCTCTTGCCCTTTCTAAAAGTAATAAGAATTAACTAACAATTATGTGTCTTTACTTTACCTTTCTTTGCTTATGAGGTACAAATAGCAAGTAAATTAAAACTTCCTCTTTTACAGTGCGACTACTGTTACCGGGGCCAATCAGACAAAGTTGACCAATCGGATTACAGGAAAATAACAATACATTCCAAGAAAGTTGGATGTGAGCCAATCAGCAGCTCATGAAAAAACAAGTTACTTTAAAAACAATAATCATTTAAATATTGATAGCAAACGTTTGCAAGGAAGCAAATTTTTGAGCAGACAGCGTTTTTCTATTCGAAACCTTACACATAACACCCAGGGCGGGATACATCATTCGTTTGACACAAGCTGTTATCATTGTCATCTACCAGCAATTTCTTCGCTACCATTGCCCCTCTTTGAAGTAACATGCGACCTCAAGTCGAAATTATAACTAACATTTCCGCTTTTCGCTTCCGTCTCTCACTCTAACGGGCCTCTCAGGAAACATAGGCTTTCTTCAGCTGGTTGAAACGGTCACGTTTGAAGCTTTTCGTTTCGTAATGATTGTTCTCGGACTGCATTGTTTTTTTTTTTTTTCTGTAATCCGATTCGTCAACTTTGTCTAGGTGACCCCGTTTATAGTAGTCGCAACGTGAACAAAATCATAACTGCTTTTGTTCCATCTTTTTTTGCTCCCATTACATAAGACATGTTGAGTATTTGACAGCGTATTAAGTGGGGGTGGGGACAGGGTGGTCCAACCCTTAAGTCTCCCGTCCCTTGCATTCCCAGCTCCACCCCCTCTATTTTATAGGCTTCCTCCCTTTAACCCTTTTTCACATGCCAAGCCCGGTAGGTTTTAGAGAAACTATAGCGATGAGTCAGTGAATTCAAAGGTCCAAATTATTTAGAGCGCTAAGTTCGTTTGGGAAAAGTTCTGTACGATCGGCATTGGCTTTATTAGCGCAGCTCGAGGCGCGCACGAGGATAGCCCAGTACTAGGGCGGATAAATGTTGGGCGGTGAAACGAGCGCTCCGCTCGTTCATTTAATGTGTGATGCGGAGTAGGACTGGCACGAGCGCTCTTTCCGCGCTTCCGGTGCGCTGGAAGGCCGGCGAAGTTTTCCTTTTTGCAAACCGGAAATCCTATTTTCTTTCTGTAATTTCAGGCTACTATGTTAAATAGATAAATTTGTTTCATAACAATATCAATAAACAGTTTCATATGTTTGTGTCTGTATGCCTATAAGTCAAACTTGTTGGTCGTATAATGCCAAAATTTGAGTTTAATTTGAAAGTGTTGAATACCTCCTCCTTCCACTAAANCAATATCAATAAACAGTTTCATATGTTTGTGTCTGTATGCCTATAAGTCAAACTTGTTGGTCGTATAATGCCAAAATTTGAGTTTAATTTGAAAGTGTTGAATACCTCCTCCTTCCACTAAATATCACCTAATCGTCTTTCGCCGTTTCGTTTGCAAAAGCTTAACACTTCTTAACCTCAATTTCTACACTGGTTAAAGGGGGATAAATTTTATTTAACATAACAAAAACTTAGATTGATATATTTTGATATAGTGGCGTTGTACTGCTTTAAACTTTGCTTCTCGGGTGCAACGCGCTATGGCGATCCGCGCAATGCGTCGCAAATCCGGCAACTGCATGTAAACAAAATTTTTTGAGGTTAGTTATAGTGTTTTTTCTCCGTTTTTCTCTCTAAAACAAAACAAGGTAAACAGTAAAAACTGAAGGGAAACTAATTTTGAAGTTTCGAAGAAACAGAAAGACGTATGAGATGTTTTTTTTGGCAGTTAAATACAAGGATGATGGTTATTGAAATTAGCATAATTTCACATTGCACGAGCTGCACGCATTTATAAAATACACGTCATCTAGTTATGAAACACGATCTGCTGTCTTGTAGTTTTGCCATGGATGACATGGATGAGATTTTCCTTCGTGTTTTAGACAGTACTTAGTTATTTTTGTTTTCTGAATAACATCGACATTGGCGAATAGTAGAACGAAAATATAATTCAGTGGTAGAGTCATGGAAGTAATAAGAGAAACCCTTTGAAAGAGATGTTTGTCTACTCCCACTAAACCTCCCGCAAAGAATAGCAACATTTGTCTCTCGGAGACAGCGTACTAGCACAAAGGAACGAGGAAGAAGCGCAAGAAAACAAATCAAGCCGCCATAATTCAGTGACAGCGGCAGTGTCTAATGCCAGACAAACCACATCGCAAGGATCGCAAGCCTTGCCAAACAAGCGACATTTCTAAGCAAAGTCCCAGTCCACTGCATCACACCTTTTTGCTCGGACGCGCTCGTTTCACCGCCCAACCTTTATCCGCCCTGCCCAGTACCTAAGAAAATGTGGTACCCATCCGTCCGCCGCCTGTCTTTCTGCACCACAGGCATACCAATGTAAAATAACTCAATCAACAGGTATGGCAACCCAAATGCAACTCGAGGTTATTTTGGCGGGAAATTGCATAGCCACCAGCGTCTTTTCAAGAAGAGGAAACTTAAGACGGAAAGCGGAAATTGTTTCTGTATCCGTGTTGACTAAAGTATTGAGCTTAGATTAATTGTGATGTCTACACATTTGGAATATGGAGAAAGAGAAAGACAAAGAAAAAGAGAAAGTAGGTGACAGGCCAGCGAAGTTCAACGAGAAAAAGAGCGACAGAGAGCTAAAGCGAGAGATAAAAAACAAAGAAGACATTTTTCGTTGGAAGAACAACATGAAAATTTTGTAGCGGCGGCGAGAAAGTAAGAAGTACTAGCGGCCACCAGGGAGAAAATGAACGGCAGTGAAAAAAAATTGAACATGAACAAGTACGACATTTCCTGTATAAAAAGTGTAACTGGGAAGTTTCACGTTGTAGTGGTGCAAAACAAGGGCAAAGAAATGTACAAAAAAAAGTGTGCTCCACGTGCAAAGTTGCTTTTTTGCTAATTAGACCTATTGTTGTTTTACCATTCTCGTTGCCTTCGCCGCTTAAGGTGATGTTACACAGGACGATTCGTGACGACGATTTTTAGCGCAACACAGCGTTGCAACATTCTTGCGACACTGTTTCGAAAGGTTACAACATTGTTCCAGCATTGCAACGCTGTGTTGCGGTAAAAATCGTCGTTGCGAATCGTCCAGTGTAACATTACCTTTAGCATTACACGATTTTATATTTTGTTTGAGCAAACTATAAATATTATCCAGAGCTTCGCTTTTAGCTCTGGCTAAATCTATATATTACGTTTTTTATAAATGGTGCTAGTTTTTTCCCCAGTTAGCAGTGATACAAAAACTAATTAAAAGAATTTACCCCCCAAAGGCTCCTTTTAAGATTTATCTATCCATTACTGACCTTCTTTCAGAGGATAAACTAAACAAGCGGGAACCATCTCTTCATGGCGATCGCATGTTACATGCCCCTTGGGACACTTCGCTTCCAAATTTGACTGAGGAAAGTATCCAGGCTCTGAGATATTCACACGCATGCAGAAAGGGCAGATAATCCAGCACTCCCATCTCAAACCAGGCCATTGTTTCATCAAGGCAGTTAGCTCGTGATGGCAAGCAAGAAGCACCGACCAAATTTGCATCAGTTCTGTTCCTTCAACTGACACGGTTATAATCGATTCTTCTGCTTCGAGAGATCTATGAACAAGGAGACACGAGTTCTTAACTCGTGCATACATTCCGTTCTTCCAATCGTGACGACTTTTTAAATCACTTATGTGCTGGTGGAGGCGAACCACGAAGTTGTGAAAGAGTGGCTCAGGTAACATCGCGGGATAAAGGTACTTTAATGAGAGGCGATAGCATCCCGAAGAAGGGGACTTGTGCAAAAACTCCTGAACACAGGAATCCTCTGGCTCGTCTTCCTGTAAAAACCAAGGGAAACGAAGTCCTTCTTCTCTTCTTTCGCTGTTTATGGGATAGCACAGTTCCAGATGAATTAAAAGGTCTATTAAGGCATCGAACACTGTTTCTTCAATCTGATGGTCTTTCCACAGTACCTTCAACAGTGTTGGCGATAGGACACCACGCTTGACTAAATCTTGCTTGGCTTGTTCAAATGAATGAGATGTAAAGCATCTCCTGGTGTTACCTTTAAAAGCCAGAGAACCGTCACGTAAGTTTCCCGAAAAGACAACCTTCATGACTTTAGTCAGAAATTCTGCACGGTGGAACACAAATCTCTTGAGCTCAGTAGATTGCTGATACCACAGCAAAATTCCAATGTCATGGAAAAAGGCCAAGATTGCTTGGGTTCGCTCTTCGCTAAGAATAAATATACTTCTGATCATATCCCAAAACCGATTTTCTTGATTCTCCACCAACTGTTTGACGGTATCAAATGTCAAAAATGGCTGATCCTGTGTTACTTCCATATTCTGAAGGCTGTTGTAAATGTCAATCCAGTCAGTTGGAATTGCCTTTCCATCCTTAGCGACGATATCTTCAATTCGCAGTCGCAAGTTCCGTATACCTTGATAATCCTTTGAGGACACTGTAAAAAAGTCTTCAACCCTGAAACTGGATTGTTTGTCTACTGGTCCTTCTTCTGCTGAGTACAAAGACAAATGGGCTCTCACCATTTCTTTTCTAGCACAGATCTCTTCGTCGTTTTCGAGGCGGTCAAGATGTGTTCCTACCAAAATGACCCGCGCTTTGGGCACGCGAGTTTTGAGAACATTTATCCAACTTCCTAGGTCTCTCATACACCTTTCCTCGCAATATCGTTGTAGATTTACAACAAGGAGAACTAGAGAGTTTTCATCCAAAAAAAGATGGTGTACTATCTTGTAGATATCGTCTCCTCCAAAGTCAACTACACAAACGTCCATTAGCTCCTTTCCAGACTCAATTTCCCAAGAAATTTTATCGAGTACTATCGTCCTGTCTTTCTCCTCGACGCAGGATGGTCTATTCTTTGCTAAAGTGTTTGCCAAACTAGTTTTGCCAGCTCCACTCGAACCAAGAAGGACAACCTTCTGATGCAATGCCTCCCCTTTTCTGATTTTTAGATATGCTCGAATCGCTGGCCAGCCTTTCTCGCAGACCTTCACTGGAGGAATTTGTAAAGGATTCCCATCAACTCTCAGCAATTTCAAATTTGGTAGACAAGCAAGGGACAGCGGCAGGGTCTTGAGCTGATTTTCAGTCACTTTCAGTTCCACTAGACTATTCAACTTACCAACTCCCTCTGGTAATTCTTGTAAGCAGTTGTCTGAAAGTTCCAGAGAAACAAGCTGTTCAAGATTTTTTACACTTTCATGCAATCTCTTTAGCTTGTTGGAAGACAGTAGAAGCGATGTCAAGGCTTTAAGCTGGAACGTAGCCTGTGGTAGCTCTTCCAAGCGATTGTTCGACAGATCAAGCGTAGTAAGCTGATGGAAATTGATAATGTCGTCCTGGATCCGCTTTAGTTGATTTGATTCCAAGATCAGAGAAGTTAGCCCTTTAAGCCGAAAAATGCCTTCCGGCAGTTCTTGCAAACAGTTTTTGCCCAGATTAATTGTATTTAGTTGATCGAGGTCCTCTATTTCTTGAGGGATCTTTGTTATGCAGTTGTCAAACACATTCAGAGTTGTCAATTTCTTCAATTCAGAAACGCATTTTGGAATCTCAGTAAGCTCATTGCAAGGTAGTTGGAGCGTGGTTAGTTCGGAGAGATGAGCAAGGCGGTTAGAGAGTTTCGCGATCTTATTATACCCTGCATCTAGTGTGACCAATGTCTTTACCTTGAAAACGCAATTTGGTAACAAAAAAAATCTGTTGCTACTTAGCAGAAGAGCGTTTAGTTTTGTCAGAGATGTGATTGTTCTGGGGAGGAGCACTAGATGGTTGTGTGAGACATCTAACGAGGTCAGGTTTTCCAACTTACCAACGTTGTCATGCAACTGAAACAAGTGATTGCCATTCACATGCAGAGAGGTAAGTTGACTTAATGTATTTATTTTGTCCGATAACTTCTTTAATCGGTTCCATGAAATATCAAGTGTGCTTAACCTTTCCAACAGAAAAACGGTTTCTGGTATTACTTCAAACCGGTTGATGCTCAAATTCAGAGTATTTAAATAACTGAGATTGGAAAAGTTTTTTGGTAGCTGTTTTAGCCCATTGTAAGACAAATCCAGTGTGGAGAGCATCCTCAGACAACAAATCTCCTTTGGCAATTCTTCGAGGCTGATGCCAGCCATCGAGAGGGTAGTTAGTCGCTTTAGGTTAGTAATTTCTCGGGGTAAACTTTGAACTGGATTGTAATTTATGTCCAGGGAAACAAGCATCTTTAGTTGACATATTTCTTTTGGTAACTCATGGAGGTCATTGGATGCTAGAATAAGTGTTGAAAGCTGCTTTAAATTTTTTATGCCTCCAGGCATCGTTGCAAGCTTGTTGAACGCTACATCTAATGTGGTTAAGTTCTTTAGTTCTTCGATAAATTCGGGGAGCTCGCTTAATTTGTTAGCACTCAGCCATAAAGTTGTTAGTTTAGTCAGGTTCTGTAATCCATCTGGTAGTTGTGTTAATTCATTGTTTGAAAGATCCAGGACCTCGATATCGGTTTCACTGCATTGTCGTAGTCCTTGAACTGCATCCACGAACGGTGATTCTATTTCGAGAACAAATCGGACACTTTAGACCACTCGTTGTGAAAGTTCTACGGGAAACGAGAGGTACCAAGGAGAGTGGACTTTAAAAGTTCTTTTACCATAAAATCCTGTGAACAAACAAAGTTTATTTTTTTACGAATTCACAACCTGCAAAGCATTTCTTCTTTGGGATGGGGCATTTGACCACCACATTAGGCTAAAGTAACTGACAGGACTTTTTAACAGACCTGTCTTAAAAAGTTGAAATGTCTGGGGAGTTGAATTGCCTTGAGAGATGTTAAAGTTTTAAAAACCTCGCCGCATAATGTTAATTGGTAAAGACACCGGCATTTTTCGTTAAATCGTGGCTCAAACAAAAGGCGACGGTCACGAACACCACAAAATTGTAAATTGATTAAGCGTCCTTTTAAACTTCATTGCGATTATTTAAATAGCGGGCAATTCGAAACTCAGATGTCAGCGAATTTTCCTCCGGAGTTGAGTTGTTTTAATAACAAATAATTATGAATAATAATTTTTAATAAAGAGAACCCGTCTGCTCACAGCAGCAAGTGGTAACGTTTGCGCATGCGTCAAGATTGCTGGGAAGCACTTTATCGTAATGGAGGAGAGCTGAGCTGAAGCACCTGCAAGGCAGATTCTTCTGGGGCGGATCTAGGGGGGGGGTGCAGGGGGGGCGCACCCCCCCCCCCCCGCCATCCGTGAGATGACCTGCGGTTTTCTAATACAACTGGTATTCTGCCAAAAAAAACTATGTGGTTTATTGGTGTTGAAGTAGAGCAAGAGACAAGTGCACCCCCTCCTAAGAAAAATCGTGGATCCGCCAATGTTCTTTTGCATACGCAATCGACAGGAGACATGTATTATGGATTGGATACTTTAGTTAAGCCATGTTGAATCGGTCAGTGTAAAACGCAGACTGCGGACTACAGACTGCGGACCAGGGGTAAAATGCAGACTGCAGACTAAGAGTAAAACGCAGGCTGGGGTAAAATGCAGACCGAGCATAAACTGTGGTCGTGGAAGGGTTTAAGGGCAAAAAAATCCCGCAAATACATGTAAAAGAACACTTACTTGATGACATCTGCTTTCACAAATCCATTCTTTTCTTCTCTGGAACGTAGTCGACGACCCGAAAACATAATCGCAATCTTGAACCTTTTTTCCATCCGAGAGACTTCACGCTTCAACTTTTGATGCGAAGTTTTCGATGTACGTGACCAGGAATCGTGAACTGGTACAACACCACGATGTTTACGCTTAAATGAAAGCTGCTGACCCAGGGGCGGATCCAGGATTTTTTTTAGGAGGGGGTGCACTCGTCTCTTGCTCTACTTCAACACCAATAAACCACATAGTTTTTGCAGAATACCCTTTGTATTAGAAAACCGCAGGTCATCTCAGGGGGGGAGGGGGGGTGCGCTACCCCTGCACCCTACCCCTAGATCCGCCCCTGTGACCCAAAATACTGTACAGGAATTATGGCGAGAAAAACGGGAGAAGGTCATTCCAAGAACAAAGAAAAGATGTTCTGCAGGAAATTTGGATGACCTTCTATGAAAGTATTGCAAATCAAGGTACACAGACTTAAGAGAGTGTCTCTGTAAGAGCGGTCCGGTCGATTTTCCTTGAGGCACAGATTTAGCTCATTTCTTGTATGTTGTAAGACATTCATGTACCTATACTAAAACCACAATCCGTTTGATCAGATCTCTTTATTTTTCAGAGTTTTACGGAAATTAAATTTCACTCGACCGAAGGCCTGTCGTGACACTTTTCAAGACGTTAATTTGAGGCAA